ATTTTTAGGGATTCTCCAAGTTTGTCTGGGAGCACGGAGTTTCTCTGTGTTGGCTGCTGCCTTGTGCTCGCCCGTGCAGCCCAGGAGGAGGCTATGCAAGGTCCCTCTGACTCCTCTCCTGCTGCAGCTTGGAAAGGAGCTGGGCAGTTGTAGTTCCTCCAGCTGCGAGGAGGAGCATTAGGTTTGGTTTTTTTCCTTTTCTAGCTAGGCTGTTCAGTACAGCCTGTACTCAAAGAGCAGAAAGCCCAAAGCCTGCCCGGAGTGGCCAAATTCCTCCCTGCGGCACCATGACGGGGCAAAAGCACCATCTCAGTCCCCGAGGTGGGTTGATCTCATCCTGCCTGTGCCCAGTACAATAAAACTTCCTGTTGAAGAACCACTGGCATAAGTGTAGGGAGAAAAAGGAGTGCCTAGCACCCAGTGCTGAAGGGAAATCCCTCAGAAAGGCTGATTTATGAAGGAAAAATTTGCCCTTAAGCCTTGCTTTTACTAAGCTCAAACAAGAGAGGACTCCCACTTGTGCTGGAGGAAGGGTAAGGAAGCAAAGCAAGCTTGTCAGAGATAATGTGCTCTGAGCTAATAGGGGGACACGTGGACCAACATAAAACATTTCATGCTCTTTCCTGACACTTCTGTTTTGACAAGCTCACTTTTTTCCCCATGAAATTGCTTTCAAGCAGTTGTATTTTGAAGCAGTCCCTGGTGATGTTTGAATCCTGTGGAATCCGAGGTGGGTGAACAGTGAAGCAAAAGATGGTGGTGTCTCCTGGCTTTGCTCGCTCTGACCTCTGGAAGAAGCTGTTCTGTTCCAGCTCAAGGTGCCTGTGTCAGAGTTGGTGTGCAGAGGCAGGCTGTGAGAGGCTGCTCACACAGACCTGTCTCTTTCCTTTGCTCCCTGCCAGCTCTTATCTGCAGGGTTTGAGCTGTTGATGCTTCCTGTGGATGTGTGTGGATGGAGACTGTCACCTTTCCTGGGGGCAGCTGGAGAAGGAGAGTTATCATTTCAGCTATGGGTCTGTCAGAGAGGCCAGAACTACGCTCTCCTTTCATCTTCCTGTCAAGCTCACCAAGCCTAATGTACCGTTAAACTTAGTGTGTTTGCTTTCCTCTTGCACAGATCATGTTTTGCACTTTGAATACTCATAAAGTTGATATGGACAAGCTCTTAGGTGCACAAATTGGCCTTGAAGATTTCATATTTGCCCACATAAAAGGACAACGAAAAGAAGTGGAAGTTCTTAAAACTGATGATGTGCTTGGGCTTACCATTACAGACAATGGAACTGGCTGCGCGTTTATAAAGGTAAATGTCATTACCAGTGAATTGCTTTGTTCTGTAGAAGCTTCTGTTACTTCCACAGTTTAGTTACTGTTTTAGTAATCGCTTAGAACTATAACATCTTTATTTTTCACTTATATGTATGATAATAGAAGTTGCTTTTCTTTAGGTACATCATTCAAAATGAGTTCAGCTATTTCTGTACCACGTGTCTTTCAAAATTAGTTGATTCGTTCATTGCTTCTGTAATGTGTATCAGCTTTACAATGTGACCATTGTGTTTTCCAGCCTACCCTGAGGTGGTAGGTGGGAGATACTGCTTGCATCAGCCCCCTCTTAATTTTTTTAAAGCCTTTTTCTGATGTCATTGATCAGGTGCTTATAGAAATCTGTCACTCACGTGATAACCACCTCAAGTTCTTTCAGTGGCTGTGCCTGTTCACAGGGCTGTGTAAGAATAGGTGCAAGTACAGTGCTTTTTCAGCTTTCCAATATTGTTGCCTTAGACAGGTAGGATGAATTAAAAGGTGCTAAGGATGAGGATTAACATATTTTACCACAATTAACTTGAGCAGCACCTATGGGCAGTAACATGTACAGTATATTAATCTGAATTGTTTTCTTCCTCTTTTATGACCTCTAGACAGTATGTTTTGAGACAAGTAGAGGCTGAGGAAATGATGCTACTCTTGCTAGACTAGGTATTAGGAGCGGTAATCACATTTTCTGCCTCTTCTAGGTGCTTTGCTCTAACCTACTCCAATTATCTATTATTAGTGAGACATTGGCAATTACCTTTGATTACTGCTATCTCAGTCCCTGTTCTCACTGCTGGTGTCAACAGAGCTTCTTGTAGGGAGAGGTTGTATTCTCTATTTATTCCTTAGCTACCAGGGATATAAAACAAGACATGGTTTAGAAATAGGTCTGCTTGTTGTGGAAAAATGTGATTGAGATCACACTTGAGAAAGTTGAGATGCAGTGGAGCTTTCAGTAAGCAGTTTGGCAGAATCATAGCCCCATTTTTATGTTTATAAGCACAGAACTCTGGATTTCTAGCGGTAGCATCCATGCAGCTTGTAACGTTCAGTCACGCTGCTGCTTATGTGGCATTTTAAAAGAAGGCATTGAAAGCAGTGCTGCTGTGATTAAAGTTCACGTGTGCAGCACTGTACAGTGTTGCTCTCGCTGTGCTTGGTTGGGAATATGGAACGAGAGAGCAGCCATCGCATGGGCTACGGCTTGATTGGAGCAGACTGGAAAACCCTCACCGCATTAGAATGACAAGCTGTGGTTTCCATGAAACTATAAAACCTGTCTGAACAAATACATCACTGCCCTTGCATTGGTGTAATAAGCAGCATAATGAAAATGGTGCAGTCTTCATGGGAATGCATCAGTTTAAAGGAATTTCTGGGAGCTTACTTTCTTTTTGTTGCATATTTAGCTATTTTTTAAAAGAGCATAGAAAATACCTATGCAAAAGTAGAAGCAACATCTTTTTTATACTTGGCTATTTAGGTAAATGAGCAGCAACTGTCTCTAAATTTTGATAGAATTATTTTTGTTTATGTATTTACTTTCTTTGAAAAAATGTTGCTATGTTCCTGTATTATCAACAATTAATATTAAATTTACTTATCTGTGTGTTGTTCAAAGCTGTTATGTGCTGTAGTAATTTCACTGCATTTTGAACAACAGGGCAGTTTCTGGGTTTGATAAATAACCTGGCCAGTTTTTGAACGTGGCACTCTGAACTGCACGTTCTTTTCCTATGAAATCTAATGTTGTTTTGCCTTCCTAAGAACAAAACTTGGTGTCATTCTTCTTTCACAAATTTGTTTTCTGGGTACGTGGCCTGATGTGAAGATGTATTATAGAGTCAAATTAGCTGTTCAAAGAATGACAGTAGAACTTGAGGCATGACCGACTGGTGTGTAAGGAGACATTATCGAATAGGCTGGTGCAATTAATTTTAGGCATTACATAGGAAATATAGATCCTAGCTTCTAAATGGACTGTAGAGCCCTTGAAATACAGGCATATCAATTGTATCTTAGTTACTGTGACAATGTAGCTTGACTGTCTCTGGTCAGTTAATGTGGAGTGATGATATAAAAACTAAGTCATAATAAAAAACTGTTTGGTACGACACAAATAACATAGCCAGTGAATATTACTTAAACAGTTTTGGTATTAGCATCCAAGAGAAGAAAAGCTAAATGAAAATGAGTTCAACTAGACGTTAATGGAAGTCTGGTGGGCACGCTTTTGAATCCTGACACCTGGTAACAGAAAAGCATTTGGGACCTGGATTCGAGTGTGTGTCTGATACCCCCCTCTTCACCGTGAGGCTTCTTGCTGGCTTCCACCTATGGTAAAGAAAGTGCTAGAAAGAGCTAAACTCAGCCTGAAGCTGAAGGCTGTTGCAGTGTATTATAGGATGCTGAGCACTATCACACTTCCCACTGACTCTCAGATGGAGGCACATATGTGGGCTCAGATGCACACACATCAACTAGAAGCAGGTTTCTGCAATGGCTCCACAGCTAGGCTAGGTGTTACAGCAGTAGGTGGTAATATGTTTATCTCCCTTGTCTCAATGTTGTCTCACTCAAAGTCAGCCTGAACAACATCGGTATCGAAAAGGACGTTACTCGGTAAGGTATTGGAATGCAATTCATTATCTCTACGAAATAGAAGATATTCTGCTATGTCGTAGCTTTTTCTATTACATAGCTGTAGGATAACTTAGGCACATGATAAACAAATGTGGCAGCATATAATAACAATAAACAATCGCTGAAATTTTGCGTCCTTTAATTGACTTGATAAATCATAAAGAATTTTAAGGTTTTTTTTCCTCACTTTTTAAATTCCACTTCACAGAAACTATCAATATTAACTTCTGTTATATTTTATGATCTTTAGGCCGTTTGTATTCCATGAGATGGCATTTAGAAGAATGTACTATTATTTATTTCATAGGAAATACTTTAGTGTGTATCCATATAGCTTGATAAGGAAAATGGTAGAAGTTTTATCATCATAGATGGGTCTTATTAAGACTAGTCCTTTATAGTATGTCATTTTTAAATATATCACACATTTTTTCTGTTCCTGTGCTTGTCAAGCTATTAAATCAAAATAAAACCCCAAACCTCAACTAGACATACACATTACTGACATGTTTAGGTTCAGTTTAAGGTGGAAAAACTTAGCTTATTCAGAAGCCTTAATTTCTAAAATATGATTGCATTTTTTTTCCTGTTGATTTTATATCTGATGCTTATTAAAATACGTTGCTTGGAAAAGAATGCTTTCCAAAATACATTTGATGAAAATCTTACTGATGAAACGCCCTGCTGGTATAATAAGTTCAGTGCTATGGATGTTGGTAACTTGCATTCTTGAAACTCTGTGGTGTCACCTCTGCACCTTTTAAAGAAATGTTTCTAATTAGTTTATTTTTATTTTTTTTTAAACTATAGCGAATCAAAGAAGGTACCCTTATGGACCAAACCAAAATTATCTGCGTGGGTGACCACATAGAGGCTATAAATGGGAAAAACGTGTCGGACTGTCGGCATTATGAAGTTGCCAAAATGCTAAAAGATCTGGAGAAAGGGCAGCTGTTTAAGCTGGAGTTGATAGAGCCGATGAAAGCATTTGGTGAGTGACCTGCCTGTCCACCTTGCTCACTGGATATTGGAATTACACTGCATTGTGTTGTAAGTTTGTTTTCAGATTGCAACCAGGTGTCCACCAAAGGTAACAGAACTAATATAAAAAATTTATGTTTTTAACATGGAGGTTTTTTTTGTTTGATTTTTTTGTTTAATTTTTTTCCCCCCTTTGAGGTGGGCAGTTTGTGAATGGATTTTCTCCCATCTTGTTTTCTCTGGCAGTCATCCTGTTGTAGGCTGCCTCAGCCTGAGTCTCAGTTGCTCGATTCCTTTGCCACCATATGATGATGTGAAATAAATATAGGACTTGTCCCATAGACACAGTTTTAAAACACGGATCACTTCGCTAATGCGCTGGTCCTCCAACCTCATCTCCTCTTTTCCTTTATTAATGCATCATCCCTGTTGATCTGTGGGTCAGGTTTTTCTATTTCTGAACCCTTTTCTGGGCACAGCACTCTGTAATGCAGAAGGATGCTACAGAAGACACTGGGATTTCGTAGAGCACCTCCTTGGCTGTGTGCCTGCCTCCTCTCCCCAGTTTTTTGGGCTGTATGTGGCTCATACAGCAGATATACTCAGAGTTGGAAGATAGCAGCATGGCAAAGCTCTGCCTACCACCTGCATGGTATGAGAAGCAATACTTACATGGGAGGAATACATACCTACTGCTAATCTTTATGCATAGTAATCTTATCAATGTAGTAAACTAAAAAAAAAAAAAAAGGACTGAGTTTTGTTTTTTATTCTCTCAATTTTTTAATATCTCCTCCCAACCCATGTAGCATTTTTTCTGTAACAATAAATTCAAAATGCTGCTAAATTATATGTAAGTCCTTGTGCATGCTTGCACTAACAGCAAGTTAAAAATCCCCATCTTCACCACAGCTGCAAAAGTCTGAAATACTTATTTTTCAAATCTTTATCTGTTAGTTTGTAAGTGCTGCCATACCCCAATCTTGACACTTGGTGTCAGAGTAGCAGCAGAAATAGAAAATGAGAGAAACTTGAAGGTTTCCTTTTGCTTTCGGTGTTTCTGTGAGGACTGAGGGTTATGAGCTAATCTCTAATGTGTTTGGATATAAACTCCTGTTAAGTAAATGTGTATGTGATACATTTTGCTGAAGTAGCATTACGTGTGTATAGTATTGCAATTAGTAATATAGGAATACCTTTTTAATGTGGGTCTACAATTTGTTACATGGTGTTTGTAAAGACCAGGGTAAATCAGCATCTGATTGGTGACTTCAGCCATTATTTAATAGTAATTATTTTAGTCAGATGATGAAGATACTTTTTAGTCTTGCCTGTGATGTAGAGAAGGAAACCTGCCAATTCCATGGCAATACCTTTAATCTGACATTGAATTAAGAGGCAATCGGAGCTTTTTAGACAGATTTTTGGAAGATGCGTGTTATTTTTTCACCCTACGGAAATTAATTTACAAGTTGCAGTGCCCAATAGGTTAGAATGTGCTGTCTCGAGCCTTGGGAGCAGTTAGGCTTTAGGCACAAATTTATTGGAGAGAGTGTTTAAGCTGCAGCATGCTGAGCATAGCCCCAGAGGAGATGACAAACGAAATCTAGAGCCTACTGGAGAGGCAGGTGATGCATTCCTGTTTGTTTCAACACAAGTTTGTGAGGGTACAGAAATAAGAGGCAAGTCTCTGTGTGAAGTTACTTTTATTTTTCCTCCTCTTAGCAGAATGTGAAATAAATATAATTTACTGGTTGGATATCTTTCTGCCATGTGCACACAGGCTGCCTCAGCTACTTTAGGCAAGGCTTGTAGCACAGAATTAAAGACTTGTCTGAATAACATTGATCCTCACCAGTCACAAGCTAGCCCTCTTCAAATTAACAGAAACAAAATAAAAGCAGCATAACAAACTCTAAATTTAAATTATATTAGTATGAACAATAGTTCTGTGATGTCCAGGGAGCTTTGGTCTAGAGTATTGCAAGTAAAGATTATGTCAAATCATGAGTTTTAAGGTGCTGATGGTGACAGAACTAGAAATAAACCTGTGTGTTGTATCAGGCGTGACTTTTTGAAACAAGTCCAGTAGAAATGATGACAATGTTAAGGATGTTTTAAAATGTCCCTGAAGCAATAAAAAGATTAAGGATAAGTGTTGATCCTAACTGTGGATGTAATAGACTGTGCTGTATCTATTTGTTAAAATGAGAACAACTAAAATTTACTTTTCAAGACTTGTTCAGCAGAACAATCTGGATTTTCAGAACAAAAAGTGAAGGTAATGTAATAGCCAAAGGAGATACATCATATTCTGACTTACTACATACTTAGTTTTGTTTGGTATTATTTTCTTTTAGTTGTTATTGTTTGTTTTGCCTTTAGACAAGCTGGAACCAAGGTCCAAAGGCGGAACTCTGCCAGAGGCTAAAATCTCCAAAGGGAGAGAAACACTTCGGCTGAGAACCAAAGGCCCTGCTACTGTGGAGTCAATGGTAGGGTTATCTTGGAGCCCTTCAGTAGTTTAATCACCTAGCACCTGGTTTATTCTTCCCCAGGTCTGATAAGGTGAAACAGGAAGTAAAAATCTGGATGTTATGAAGCTTGCGGGACTTGAGAAGACGACTGCCTTCTGCAGGGGGAAATGCCTATATAAAGTTGAAGACTAGCAGGGATAGGATGGGGCTGAGGAATCAGTAAACAGAGGACCTGTATGTAGATGTCATGGGTTACATGGATGAACTTAAGGTAGATTAGGAGCATTGAAAAGAGGGAAAGGGGAAAAAAAGAGGGGGTGGTTGAAGAGCTGGTTCTGTTTGTTGCTCTGCAAAGTGTACTGAGCTGGTGTAATTGGTGTTGTTAAGAGAGGTTAATAGCAAATGTTGACATGAATATGTGTAAAACCAGGATTAGGGTTTGGAAGAAGAGATGTTATTTATTCTGAGTTTGTCTAAAGCTGATGAGGATTTGATGAAGGTCTGTATTTTCATGTTCCTGTTTAGTAGGAACGTGAGCGCTATGTGGCTTGATGTTAGGAGGAAGGCTCAGGTTTGGGAGAAGGGGGAAAGAAAGTGGAATAATGTGTTTTACTTGTAGGTTTTGTAAGTCTAGGTGGCTAGGAGAGGAGTAAGGATCATTGGCAGTGAATTGCTGGTTATTTTGAAATCTGCATGGATATAAAATTTCTTTTGCTCTTTTTCTCCCTTTATTTCAATGAAGCCAACTGAAGTTGAAGAAAAAGCAATTAAAAAAGTGGACGAGCTTCTTGAAACCTACATGGGGATAAGAGATATTGAATTAGGTGAGTTTTTAACAGATGCATTACTGCAAGATCAAATAATTTCTTGTTTTCTGTAGTCTAAAATTTACTGAGTACTTCAGTCTCTGGATGTAAGTGAAACAAAATTTGGCAGGATGCAGTCTCAAAAACTTGCCTATATTTCTCCAAATGTGTGTGTATGATAAAAGAGAGAATGTCTCACTACAGACCTTATGATGTAGTTAATTAATCTTCCATTCTTCCTGCCCCTTATCTATATGTTATTGCATGAGTTTAGTTGTTTGCCATTAACTGCTATCACTGTATTCTTTCTGGCATGTATTATCTAGTGGAGCTTGTGTGTACCACATTTAATGATTATTAAGGATAAGCATGTCTGCTTTTTTGTTCATTTGCCCCTTGGCTTAGACATAGATCACTGAAGTTTGAATCTGAGATCTTCATAGTGACAGGGCAACTGTTTAGCAAGGGAACTGACAGAGTAATCGCACAGATTTATCAAATCCTCTGAAGTCTGTGTTATGAAGAACATGAGAGATTTTGCAGAACATTTACTAGCTATCACAATCTTCCATTTATAATGAAAGAAACCGTTCGACCCCAGTGTTGTAAGTTCCTTATAAATGGACCAAACTTGTCCTTGCAGCTGTTGCTTCTCTTTGTTAATCTGAGACTAAGTAGGGTCTTCTGTTTGTATGGGAAGAAGATGAGTAAGAAGTGCTGATGGCCAGCTGTGGCTGGCTCTGGTCCTCATGGTCCTGTGGAACTGCTAACACTGAGACAGAAAGGAAGGTATTTATTGTTATGGTAATATCTAAAAAAAATCAGCCAAGAATTAGGAAAGGATAAGTTAAATGGAAAGTGATCTTGAAAAGAAAGCTTTTATGAGAGAGAAGTGAAAGGAGGCAAAGCAGAAAAGAAGATAGATTCAGCATGAAGCAAAGGGCAAAGGAGGAGGGTTGGGCAGGCAGCACTTATCACAGAGGAATGAAAACAACAGGAGATGATCTGAATAGCCAGAAGTCCTTTGTTGGCTGCTTCAAACAGCAAATGTCTGATTGGCAGCTTCTACTAGTTTTCTCTCAGGAAAAATTGTAGGTAAAGTATTATTTGTCCCCCAGCCTAAGGTAGAAGTGGACTTCCTGGCATAGAAGAGAGAGCAGAGCTTCCCAAAATTTGCGAATTCTGTTTTGTAGGTAATACCTAAACTCCAATTCCCAGAAAACTAACAATTTTCAAAAACTCTGTTCCCACCAACTCTAGTATGTGATGCCCCTGCCATGTAATATGCTGCCAAGAGTTCTGTGTGGTGCTGACCCTGTGTTTAGGTTAGGGAGGACTGCATGTCCTGTTGCTGCCCTGTAGCCTCTGCCACTCCAGTCTGGCTCTGGTTTTGGCTTCAAAGCTCCCGAGTCTCGTGCCAGCTGCCCCTCTGGGCGCTGGTTTTGTCCTGCAGCTGTTGCAACCCCAGCTCAAGAGGGGCTTCTGGAGACTCCTGTCTTTTGCAGATTACCTCCAAGGTCCCCAGGCTGCTGGTGGTACAGGAATGAGTGGCTATGGGTGTTCTAGTTTTGGCACTGATAGTCCAGAACTCCGAGGTCTTTAGGCTAGAGCATGGTTTCTTGGGATGCCAAGGTGTGCTCTGCTCTGGGACAGGGAAGAAGTTTCCCATGGGAACTGGTGCTCCCTGTGGTTTTGGCTCTCAGTAAATAACGGGATGGCTCTCGTACTGCAAGCTGAGGAGTTCAGCTGTCAGCACACATGGCTGAGCTAATTGCCAAGCACCTGGTAGAGTTTTCCCATTAATTCCTTAATTAGTTTTTCTCCGAATATCTAATGTCCTTTATCTTTCAGTATGTAGTTTGGAAAGTTTCAAAGAATGCCTTAAAAGAACACTTAAAGAGGGAAGAGGTCTTTGTCCTCAAAGATGCTCTCCTCTTCCCAAGGGGGTTGTTTCACCCTTCACCTCTTCCTTCTCTTCCTCCAAAAAAAAAGCAGTGAAACGAAGAGAAACTGGCAGGAATCAGAGACTACAGGGTTCAGGTAGCTTTAGTTTGCACCTTTGAAGCCATTTCCTAAAGCCCAAATCTTAAAGTCAAAGGCCAACGGTGATGAAATAAACCAAGAGTTTTATAATTTTTAAACAATTAAACAGCTCTAGGACTCCTTAGGAAAGGAGAGCTAATCACCTGTCACAAATGTGTTCAATTAACATATGTCAGTTTTTCATATACTGGATGTGATCAGTCACCCATGAAAATGAAATATGAGGAAAGGATTCATTCAGAGAATGCCAATCACCACTCAGCTAGAAATTTCACTCATTACTCAAGCCAGATTAGTTGAAAACGCAAGTCATCACAATGCGACAGCCGACAAGTGATTAAGATCTCAATCATTGCTCGCTCCCGTGCAGTTCTGTTTGTCAGAAGCTTTGGATGTCAGTTAATATTGCTCTTTCATCTCCATTAAAATGACACTTCCGCGGTGTGATTGAATTCTAAAACAGTGCCCCAGTTTTCAGCCAGAAGTTAGAAAGAAAGGAAAGAAAAAAATAATGTAAAATTACAGACAGAATTAAAGATGAGATAAAGCCCTTAATTTTTGCATAGTTAGGTATCTTGACAGTTTCAAGAATGGCTGACTAAATCTACACACAAATCCCTTAGTTGGAGCAAAATACTTGGAAATCATTTAATGGAAATGCATAAACTTACCTTTTTTTTAAAATTTTGGGGCAGATTTTCATTTTCAGAGGTCTAAATGCTATTGAGATTTACATACCTGCCTTTTGAATGCACTTTAACCTTTTTGCCTCTTTATTTTACCGAAAGCTGTACTTAATCTGCAGAGGGGACACTTGGCTCTGGAAATATATTCCTCAGTCGTTTTATGGGCACATTAGAGATTCTACCAAGGCTTTGACATCAGCCCTCTTTTAAACATAAATATGCTACTGAGAGATAATATGGGTTACTTTAAATAGCCAGTGCTTTCTGGTAAAGGAATGTAAACAGTTGATTAATAGGAGGAACTCAGCAAGCAGTGTTAGTGAATAATACTGGTGGCGTTTATTTTGAAATCTGTGAAGCTTGAATTGTTACGGACTGTATTTGATCCCAAAAGACTGGATCTATGGGGCCTGACCCCAGAATGCTACTGATGGGGAAATGATGGCAAAAAGGGCTTCCCAACCAACCTTTTTCTTTCAGCATCTTTTGGGTAGCTCTTCATCCGCCCTGTGTTTTATAGGTAGCAAAACCACAATGTAAAGTAGATCATAGTTTTCATGGCTTGTGCTGCATGTGTCTATCAGAAGTGAAAACGAGTTACTTTAAAGGGATTAGGTTTAAAAAGGCATCATAACTACTTTGTTCATATTCTGGGAAGCCTGATATTGAGCTTCTCAGTTAAAGTTGAGAAGATTTTTGGTTCCTTTCATCACTTTTAAATTTGCTGAACTTTTCATACTTTACATAAACATTTCTCAAGTTATGAGCATTGCCTGAAGTGAGGTTTAAAAAAAATAATAATCTGAAAACAAGTTGGGCTATCTGGAGTGTGGAAAAATACAATATTGGAATAAAATTCCTGTAATCACTTATTGTGCAGCTGTTACAAGAAGCAGTGCTGGAAAGGGAGAGGAGCGGAGGCAATTTGGCACGGAGCTGTCACCCTCTGAGAACCAGGAAAGTTTTCTTCAAGTTGGCAAGTGTCTACTAACTGCCTTGGCAATCAGGAGGTTTTGATTTGCCTTGGGAATTACTCATTGTGAATGTCATTGTGCAAACGTGCGTGTTCTGCTCAGCTGCGTGCCCAGGGGATGCCGTGCCTGTGTTAACTGCCCGGAGAAAGACGAATTTGGACATGGGGTGGTGGAGAAGGCCGGCCAGCTGTAGTGTTGCTATATGTTTGAAACTGGTGACGCAGGGTTCAGCTTTGCACAGTTGTATACACCAGCGTGTGAAAATCAGGAAGGGTGGCTTGCGTCTTGCATTAGGGTTTGCTGTACAATGCGACTCTGCTGGCACTAGAGGTCAGCACCAAGCTATGGAAAACGAACTGGGGATCCTGCAGTCCCTCCTCAGAAGCACATTTCATCACATCAGGTGAATCTGGGAAGGGGAATGTTCTTTGGTAAATATAGTACATTAAATGTACCCTGGCAGTGCTGATTACAGTTGCTCAATACAGATGAGAACGCTTTTATTTGAGGCTGCTGCTCTCGCACAGCAGTGACATTCTGACTCCTCCTGGGCTGGGTTGAAAGTTGTCTTGCTTATCCAAGTTTAGTGGATTTTGTTTTCAAGTTTGGTACATCTGTAAAAAACTATTTTTAAGGTTGTATTTCATAATTTGGAAAGCTTAATCCTTCAAGAAAATTGTGTTTGAAGTAAGATTTTCTGTTAATGACAGTTTATTACGGTGTTATTCTGAGGTTTCAGCTGAGGCAGTTGGACTGTCATACAGTGCTGTGTTGTCTTGTTTTGTCATATCTGTCATATGGCTCTTTCATATATCTCGACCATTTTATCTTTAAACTGGCTAAATTCCTTGCTCCAACTTTTTCTGCTGGAACACTTGTCTAGATCCTCAGTTTCTTAATGGCAACTTTTTTCTTTTTCTTGTGTCTAGACACATTTGCTCTTGTGTCACCTTGCATGGCTCTTCTCCCTCCAACCCTCTCTATATGTCTATATAAAGTGACTTCATATTGTGGTTCATATCCAGAAATCTGTGAGGTGTAAATTACACCTTTTACCTCCAGGATCACTGCTCTGCAAGTACCTTCTTATGCCACAGCATCAGGGGATATAAGGTGGTATTGATAGGACAAATATTTGTCTTCCACTTGTGAGGAACAGGAGCCCCCTATTTAACACTTGTTTCCCATCCAGACTCCTCTGAGTCGCAGGAACTTCACAGGGGACACAGAAAGAATGAATGCAATAGGGACAGGGTTTCTTCTGGCAGGGAAATGGGTTTTGTGAGTCCTTGAGAACTGTTAGTGGTGCCAGGGA